CAAAAGAGAGATAATAATGCCTACATTAATTCATAAAGCTTGGGAAAGTGATTTTAGGCACACAGAGACATATGAGCAAAGGTAAAATATGGTGAAGAATAAGCTAAGGCTGAGTTTGGCTGCAACACAGACTGAACTGGAGGAGGTATCACTGGGACAATGGGAAGCCATTGCACATAGTTAAGAGTAGAAGTAAAATATCACACTGTTTTTTCAGGAAAGAAAATGACTCTGACAGACGAATACATTACGGAAAAGACTGCAGCAGAGGAACCAGGTGAGACATTAACACAACCAGATGAAAGATGACAGATGGCAGCCTAGACTGTGGTAGTAGCAGTGGAGTTGCAAGGAGAGGAATAGGCAATAGGATTAAAGGAAAAACCACATAGTAAGAGCCCACCATATCTTGGATATTGTGCTGAGGATATAAGCAGATTTCATGTCCAAATAGGCAGGTGGATACATATGTGTGAGATGCTTAGGGATAGGAGGTGAAAATCAAGGATGACAAAAGTTTCCAGCTTCTTCAGATAGAGGAATGGTAAGAATATTATCTAAGATAGGAAAGGCAGGAAAATGAAATGTCTCTGTGCTCAAATTTGCTACTAACAAATCACAGAATTATCTTAATAGATGACAAACACAGCATTCTACAATGTCATCATTCAGACAGATCATCAATCTGATAAGAGCTTTTCAGAAGGGGAAAAAGAAACATCACTGCATAATACATACAAATCCCATATAAGACTCTAATTCCAGAAATTTTTAAATGGAAGAATGGTAGAAAATAAGTCTCAGAATCAAAGCAATATGGTATTTGCTGAGAATTGCTAATAACCCTTTTTAGTAGTATTTGTATTTTCAAAAAATGTTTTTCAAGATAGAGTATGTATTTGGAGTGTTTAGAGGGGGACTGCCTGTTTAATTACAAAGTCAGCCCTAGTCCTGGCAGTTAAAAGTCTAAGGCTACACTATCCAATACAGTAGCCACTAGCCACCATAAAACTGTGGCTAGTAAGCACTTGAAATGTGGCTAGTCCCAACTGAGATGAAATATTTTTAAAAAAGTGAATTTCAAAGAATATATATATATAAAAAAATTAGGCGGGCATGGTGGCACATGCCTGTAGTCCCATATACTCGGGAGGCTGAGGCAGGAGGATCGCTTGAGCCCAGAAGTTTGAGGTCGCTGTGAGCTAGGCTGACACCATGGCACTCTAGCCCAGGGAACAGAGTGAGACTCTGTCTCAAAAAAAAAACAAAAACGAATGAACTAAGGAAACCCATGCTCAAGTATTTAGGGGTGAAGTTATATGATATCTGCAACTTTCTTTAAAATGTTTTAGTCAACCATATGCATCTACACTATATCTATGGCTCATCTATCAAAGGAGAGAGTTAAAGCAAATGTAGCACAATGTTAACAAGGAGTGAATCTAGGTAAAGAGCATACAGTAAGTGTTCATTGTTTAATCTTTCAACTTTTCTACAGGTTTGAACATTTTCAAAATAAAAAGTTGGGAAAATCAAAACGGAATGCATTGTGAAAACAAAAGATCTATCTCATGAACAGCACAAGATATGAAAGTATGCAATCTTATCTATCTGAATTTTTACATGAAAATTCATGGATTACTTTCATAATTAAATGTTGAAAGAGGAAAGAAAGAAAATGAGCAACTCCAGACAGTTTGGTTATGGTAGACAGGGTCTCTGAATGCTCTATAATTCATGAATGATTTAGGTGTGTAGTCAAGAGGAAGAGTGGTTAAGTGAAATCTTTCCAACACTGAGCATCAATTTTTAGTCTTCTTAAAAGCACCCTATAATATTAGGGAAATTTCAAAATTTCCTATACATACTTTATTCTATAAAGAAAACATAGTAAATGTGACTGATTTCCTCGTGTGATTTCACGACTAGCATTTGGATTAAATTACCTAAGAAGGAAAGTACATAAGTATTTTTCTTTGTGCTAAAAATCTAATTAAGGCTTTTAGCCATAATGGGGTAATAAAGACCAGACTTACTTTCTTTCCTTAAACAACCATAAAACTGGACAAATATATGAAACAACAGTTTTCAGACGCTGGACAACAGACATCACAGAACAGTGATATGTCTCTGAGAAAAGGGAAACAAAATGTATTCTAGAGACCAGCATGGGGAGGGAGAATCAAGACAGAGACCAATAATCTCTCTATAACATAGTCTGGACTGCAGAGAGGCCGATGTGGATAATTTTCAAGAGAAGAGAGCTTCACAAAGACAAAGAGCTCCAGCAATCTTCAGAGGTATCTCTATGAGTCTTTGACTGGTACTGATCTGCATGTGAGTATGAAGAAACTATCGGAAGCTGGAGAAAGAATCACTAGAATGAGCAGGTAGAATACTCACTGGACTTTACACTGGGTTGAGAGGAGCTCATGTTCTTAACAGCCAGAGTGGAAGGTCCTCCTAATACACAGAACATGGGCGGCAGGGAATCCTCATAAGAGTATTGCCTCAGGAGTGACCCTACACTATAAAGTCTCCCATGTACCCTCCCTAACGAAGCCTAAAAGCAAGGGTCAAAAAGAGAAAACTGCTTCCAAGTTACTTAACTGTGTCCTAGAGCAAAGTCTAACATTATTTAAAGAAAAACAACAAAAGTTTGTACCCAAGAATATATGATTTACAATGTCTAGGATTCAGTAAAAATTTGCCAGATGCCAAGTGTGGTGTCGTGTGCCTGTAGTCCCAGTTGTTTGGGAGGCCGAGGCAGGATGATCACTTGAGCCCAGGAGTTGGAGGTTGCAGTGAGCTATGATCCTACCACTGCACTCCAGCCTGGGCAACACAGTGAGACTCTGTCTCTAAAAAAAAAAAAAAAAACACCAGGCATACAAAGAAGCAGGAAAATAAGACTCATAAGCAAGAGAAAACTTAACAGGCAAGCATGTTAAAACAGCTATTATAAATATGTGTTATGTGTTCAAAAGCAGAGGTAAATATGAACATGATGACGAGAGAAAGAATAAATATTAAAAAACTGAACAGAACTTCTAGAGATGATAAATATAGTATCTGAAATGCAAAAAATATAATTCAAGATGGGATTAAAAGTAGATTATAACTTCAAAGAAAAGATCATGAACTTAAAGACAGAAATAGAAATGATTTAAAATGAAATACAGAGAGAAAATAAACTAAAAAAATTAAATGAAACATCAGTGACCTTTGGGACAACACTGGGTGGTCTAGCACATGTGTAATTGTAGTTCAAATGAAGAGAGAGAGAGAGAAGAGGTCAGAAAAAAATCTGAAGCATTAATAACTGAACATTTTCCAAACCTGATGAAGACCACAAACTCATACATCCAACAATCTCAATGAACAGAAGAAACATGAGGAAAACCACACCTAGGCACACCATATACAATTGCCAAATATAATAATACAGAGGAAAAAATTTTTAAAAGACATTATATATAGATGAATAAAAAAAAGAATAAGAGTGGATACCTTGTCTAAAACTATGCAAGCTATGAGACAATGGATCATCCTTTCAAAGCACAGGAAAAAACTTGGCAACCTAGAATTCTCTAGCTAAATATTCTTTAAAAATGAAGGTGAGGCTGGGCATTGTGGCTTATGCCTGTAATCCTAGCACTTTGGGAGGCTTAGGCAGAAGGATCACTTGAGGCCAGGAGTTCAAGGCCAGCTTGAGCAACATAGTGAGGCCCTGTCTCTACAAAAAAATTTTTAAAAATTAGCCAGGCATGGTGGCATGCACCTATAGTCCCAGCTACTTAGGAGGCTCAGGCAGGAGGATCACTTGAGCCCAAGAGTTTGAGGTTGCAGTGAGCTCTGGTGGCACCACTGCACTCTAGCCTTGGCAACAGAGTGAGACCTTGTCTCAAAAAAAAAAAAAAAAAGAAGATGAAATGAAGACTTTTCACACAAGCAAAAGCTGAACAAATTCATTGCCAGCAGAACTGCATTATAAGAAATACTAAAGGAAGTTGTTCAGATAAAAGGAAAATGATATCAGGCAGAAATTAGGATCTACACAAAGCTATGAAGAACACCAGAAATTGCTTACATGTGGGAAAATAAAAAGGACATTTTAAAATCTCTTTAAGAGATAATTGACTATTTAAAACAAAAATAATAATGTATCGTGGGACTTATACATAGAAATATTAATAAAATGTATGACATCAATAATACAAAGGATGGGAAGGAGAAATGAAAGTATCCTGTTATGAAGTTCTTACAATATACATGAAGTTGTATAATATTAATGATAATTAAAGGTAGACTGTGACACCACAGCAAGTGAGGTAAAATTGCTTTCTCCACAGAACTGCCAGTAAATGTTTCTGTACCATTTTTGAGTGTGCTGCTTCAGGCTTCAGTGCCTTTGCATGTGCTGTTTCCTATGCCAGAGATACCTTCTCCACTTATTTACCAGATGGATTCCTATCCTTCCCTCTCCCTTCAAGTTTCTAAGATTCCACTCATGTCTCTTCCTCTAAAAATCCTTCTCTTCTCCCTTATTCCTCCTCCTCAATTAGTCACTTAGTCCTCCCTGTTCCCAGAGAACTTCATAAATACTTTTACTAGCGTGTATTTCATTTCATTGTAATTAGTTATATATGTGCCTGTTCTCAAGGGCAAGGACATGTCTCTCTTATTTATTGCTATATCCCCAACAACCAGCATGGTTCCCAGTGTGTAGAAAGCATTCCTTAAAGCAGTCCTTGAAGAGTTTTATACCAAAATTTCTCTTACTACTGTCTCTGCCTTTCTAGAATATGGTATGTCCCTTCCAGGATCTTCTTTCAACTCTAACCTGGTGAAAGTATTATAGTAACAGCAATGAGTAGTCAGATAAGGATCTACATGTGGGCAAGGGTCTTTTTGCTAATTTTTAAAAAATATTTATTTTTTAATTGATATACAACAGGTATACTTATTTTGGGGGTACATGCAATATTTTGATACCAGTATATAATGTGTGATGATCAAATCAGGGTAGTTGGGATCCACCACCTCAAACATTTATCTTTGTGTTGGGAACATTATAATTTTTCTCTTCTTATTATTTTGCAATATACAATAAATCATTCCAAATAATAATTTCCCTACTGCACTACTGAATACTAGAACTTATCCTTCTGCCCAACTGTATTTTTGTACTCCTTGGCCAACTTCTCTTCATCCTCCTCTTTCCCTTTTCAGTCTCTGGTAACTACCATTCTACTTTCTACTTCCCTGAGATCCACTTTTTTAGCCCCCACAAGAGTGAGAACATGCAATATTTACTAATTACTTTAACCATCAAGGCTATTTATTTCAATATTTTTAAGTTTCCTAAATTATAATGCACAAGAAAAACTTACTTCTGTCATTAACTCTAGTGGGGCGCAAGTATCTTTTTTAGGGTTACTGTCTTCATCGTTATCTTCATCATTGGTATCATCTTCATCATCATCATCATCTATTGATTCTGACAATTTATCATCAATATTCTTAAGGCAATATTCATTATTTTTCTCTTGCTTTGCAATGACTGCATCTTTGCCCACTTCACCTAAAACAGAATATAAATAATTTAATCAACAAACATTGAAAAGTTCAAAAATTAAATATTATCTGTGAAAAAATTAGATCTTATTATCTGTAAAACTGATATATTAAATAAAACTAACAAAAAAAAATTAAAAAAAAAAACTAACATAATCATCACCATAACAGTTATATTCTGAACACTATGTATCTTAACTTATGTAATTCTCTCAACATCAATGAGGTAGTGTTTAGAACTTTTTCTCTTGTAAGATTTTGAGTGCCTACGAAGTCATTTGAGATGTCTCTTTGATGGGAGTGTGATGAGCTACTCTAAATAATGTATAAACACGTGTTAGACAGAAGAAAATGAGGAAATCTAGAACTCCAGTAAGACAATGTTAAGAAAACACAGAGGAAAAAAAAACATAAAACTTAAAACTTCTGCTGACTCTAAAGCGAACTCCTGACTCTAAAGCGAAAGTGCTACCCTGAAAAGGAATATCACGTTCTTCCAAGAGTTCGATGGCTGCATCATTCAGGCCACCCACCTACGCGCTTCCGCTTCAAGTACAGTCTCCATCAGCTCACAACCACCCTGACCTTCCAGTGTGCACCCAGCCCGTGCGCTGACTCAACACACTGATGCATCAGAGGAAGGTCATAATTAAGAATTAAGGACATCCTGTGATGTCACAGAAACTGCCGCATTCACATCACAAACACTTAGCATCATGAGAGGCTTCCTGATCCCTACAGCTAAAGTAGTCCTCTCTCCTGGCACTGTTCATTTACCTTGTAGCACCTATCACAACCTGTAAATGTTTCGCTTATTTAAGTGTGTGTATGTCTTTGGGGTTTTTTGTTTTGTTTCTTTAGCGCTGCCTAAGCAAGGCCTCAAAAAATTTGGTTACCAACTCACAACGGTTTCTCTCCACGGAAACCTTTAGTAAAAGGTGAAAGATGTATTTGTTCTGAAGAAAAACCAGGGCGTTGTTTGTGTATGTATTTTTTTTTTCTCCCAGAGTAGTCAAGTTCAGTAGTGAGAAGGAGGAAAGAGCAGAATGAGGAGTTCGATCTGTAACTGACTGTGAACAATCAACTGAGATAACTTGCTACCTTCAGACAAGCCTATTGTTATTTATTTTTAATAGTTGGCTGTCTTCTACTAGAATGTGAATTTCACAAGGGCAAGGAGTTTCCCTGTTTTGCCAACTATTGTATCCACAGCTTCTAAACCAGTGCCTGGCACTCGGCACTCTGGCTTTCAAATGTTGTTAAATGAATGGAACTTGTTAATGCTTCCCTAGGTATTTTAATCCACTCTAGGATTTAATACGTGGTCATTATCATCTTATGTAATGTACGCCCATGGATCCCATACCTGGCTGCATATGAGAATCACCTGGTACATGAATTTGAGAAACTGTTGATTCCCATGACCTGCCCCAGATCAACAGAGTTGTCAACTCCCAAAGGTCACAGAAAAGGAAGGCTAAGTTAGAACCACAGTTACTCAACTCAATAAAGCAAATGTTATTACCTGTGCTTTCTTTTAAGAAGGAAGATGACCACAGGTCAGACTGTAGATTTAAGATATCTTTATTTTCAATATTCTTTGAAGATACTTTATTTTCAATATTCTTTGAAGAGACTTCCTTCCTAAATATTACAGTAGATGGTGAAAAAATATTTTCCTAGGTTACAATTCTGTTTAATGTTTTATATGGTTCATAAACACACACACACTACATTTAATATATATAAACACAGACTATAATATACTAACAATAAACTAGCTAAAGTGTAGTGCCTTCTTTGTGGAAAAGCATTACAAATAATTTTTATTGGTGATTAAAATCCTATTTTAACCTAGCATTTGTTACTATGTAATACTTCTTAGAATCTTTTTAGAGTTCTTTAACAGAGCATTTAAGTAATGAGTTATATAAATGTCTTTGGCACATCATAATATGATGGAATAAAACCATTTAAGGAAATTAGCCTTGAGTTTTCTTTTTAAAGTTTGTAAATCGATTCCTGCCACTGCTAACTGCTATGCCTATGAAGAGAGTCCAACAGTAATATTAATCCTTGGTCATAATATAAAATAGCCTTTTTCATTACGTAGCTGTACTATAATAAAAATGGGTTAATTTTCTTTTAGCCTTTAAGCTTGAAACTTCATGTTAATAAGTAACGCATAGATACAAGGGATTCTTATGTGGCACACTCTGTTCACAAAGACAGATACCCAAGCTTGTGGAAAAATGACCACAAGTCTCTCTTTTGAAGTCTTAAGAATCTTTCAATACGTCTCCTTTACAAAGTTTTAAAACTTCAACTTCTAGTTTGCATGGAAGTACGAAAAAAGATGTAAAGTATTATTTTTTCCTCAAAGTTATAGTAGCTCAGTTTTTTCCCCTCATCGAAATGCAAATCCAAAACATTAGTAAAGTTAGTGGTCTTGTACATTAATTTAGCAAATAGGCTGACCAGTTTGTTATATTAATACTATGGGGAGGGAATGGAATCTTTACTTCTCTACTATATATGGCTAAAGCAAAACTAACCCTTCTCTGGAAATGAGAAATGCACAGCAAAGATGATTTACATTTATTCTGTCTCTGCCCCCTCAGTTTTCTAATTTTGAAAGAAAGCATCCAAGAAGAAACTCTACAGATGAAAAGGTGAGAAATCACTGAAATGTTTGTTTACAGTATGGTGAGATTCCTGTCATGCCAAAGATCACCACACAAGTGATTACTAGAATTTATGTGCTCTAGTATCTAATTTAGAAGAAAGGTCTGTGATGCCTTTTTTCTTCCTAGAAATTACAGTATTTCATTGAATCTAAGATACCATCTCTTTAGTATAAGACATATCATGTTTTATGTACCATTAAAAAAGGAAAAGCTTTGCCAAATATAAGTCTAAAATGACATCAATTGTAAGAGATATTAAAATATGAAGAAAATGTGTGCTTTAGAATCTATGAAATATGGTACTTATATATTCACTAAGTTATGTCCCTAAAAAGGAGAATTTAGCTAGTATAGTTTCTAGGTATTTGAATAGTTGTAAATGCCTTTAATAATCTTTATGAAACACACAACATACTCAACATACTCAATGACCTGAAGATTCACTATTTGGAAGCAGTGAACATGCCAGAAAAATATCTATGTAAGAATTGATCGAATCATGATTTTAACAGTAAAATCTAAATTCCTTTTCTGCTCACTTCTGTAGTCTTTCTCATACACAGTTTCAAAGAATCAGAGGCCCAAAGTTCAACCTTCTCTTCAATTAAAATCTATTGACTTCCATTTGAGGTGACATTATTTATGGTAATAAGGCCTCTAACCACTTAAGAAAAACAGATAACTAGTATGATCTAAAAGATTTGTTTTTGTTAACTTCAACTTACATACAGTTATAACTGAGGAAAGATTCAAAATTTTACTTTATGGAATAATATCCTTTGGAAATGGAAGGAATCTAAGGTAGTACTTAATAAAGTTACAGAGTTAGTCAGGTTAGATATTCCATTGGAACATATTTATGCTTAGCAGGTAGATAACCTAGGTTTTAGGATTTCTCCTTAGTATGTGAAGAGCACTGGGTATATTTAGGAAATGTCCCAAAATTTCTATTGAAATTAATAATTTTTTCAGGAGATTCGTATTTTAAACTTTGTCCTAAAATGATTTATACTTATCAAACATGGGCCTAAAAAACAAAATTAACTAAAACTTACTTTTCTGAGAATGTCTTAGCTACATTTAGAGAGACTTGTGTTGATGAGGCATAAAGTTTGCTTGCCAATCTTGGTCTGTGTCCAAAGAGGCATTTACTTAAAATGCAAAAATGGGAATAAAAAATAGCTTGTCATTCAGTTTACAAAAGATGATAAAACACATGATTATGTAATAACAACCCTATAGATACAATTTTTCAACCTCAGTCAAGGAGTTGAGTGCTGTGGATTTGTTCCAGCCATTTTCCCCTCTCATTTTTAAGTCTGCTTAAAAGTTTGACCAAAAAACCATGGATCAAAGGCCCAAGATCCAGAAAACTTTGTCCAGTGCCTAAAGGTATATTTTCCTTCTACTGAAAATAGTTTGTTAATTAAAAGTAATTTGTTGGCTAGACAAAATCTTTTACACATTGGATTTACAGGAGAAAAAAGGAAATGATAAATGTGGGCTCTGTGTGCCCAGAAGTTTGAAACTCCTGGTTTATAGAGTCTGCACACTTGTACCTGGGCTTGGAGTGGAGAATCAGAAGACTAAGGTGAAGAACTGATAGGGAGAGAAAACTTCTAGTTTCCCCTAACCTAACTCTCGAGGGCCTTTTGGTCAGAATTTGAAGTCAGCCCCAGGATGGAGAGTGGAATGGAAGCTACACTGAGAAAATTTATCAGCTCTGCAGATCAGTCATGCTCTTCCCCAGCAAAGGTTCTCTAGGATTTTCTATTTTATTACTTCATCGTTTTTTTCTAGGACTGGCCCTGTTTACTTTCAACTCTGGGTGAGGTACCTGAGGTGACAAAGCCACACTGTGCCACTTACTGGCTACACAAACCACCCTTGCTCTTCCCTGCAAGCAAATTAAAGGGAACATGATCATTCTGACCTTGCAAAAAGTAGTTTGATAGGCAGATGCAATTATTACTGAGATCAAGAGAACCTGTAGTCAGTCCCAGGCTGCATCTGATTTATCCCTGGGCTTTATCTCCCTCAGAGTGTGGAGTACCAGTTGCTCTAGTGCCAATACTACTTATCACAGTCTACGAACATTGAAGCTCATGGACACAACAATGATTTATTTTCATCAATGACCCATTAACTTTTATTATTACTGAAAGTTATATCTCATATTTTCCTCAAAGACAATTAAACATTTCTTAGATTTTTTTATTTAAATGTTTTCAACCATGTAATAGGATACATATAATTACATGTAAATTAATATACTTAACAGGTCTCTTTTTCTTCTTGTTGGTTATACCTTTAAATTGAAATAAACATAAATTCTCTGCCATTGATCTGCTATAGATTACTTTCTCTTTAATATAAAAATATGTATTATATTTATATAATATGTCAAGAGCCAAGGTAGACATCTTTAGCCTTGACAGTATGAAAATTAAAATACATGTTGCATAAGGTAGAATTTTTCCCAGCCAATAATATTCAGAATAAACCAAAACAATATAAATTAAATAGAAGAATCCCACCAGAATGGTACCTACAAATTTGTCAATAATCCCTATGAATGTGTTTTATGTTCAACTTTCAAGCTGTAATTTTTCATAGAACAAATAATAGCTTTTTTTTCAGAAAGTAGGAGATGATCACATCAAGAAGGGCTTTAATAAGTCATCAGAATTAATACCTTAAACAGAGCAGGTATTTAAAATTTAGCTCCTAAACTGATATTATACTGTGATTTTTAACACCAGTTTCCTCAATTAGTAAAGATGATTATTTTCTTTATTCAGTAGTAATGACTCACATTATAGTAAAGATTCTGCTTAATTTTAAAGAAAATATTCACTTAAAGAGATATTTTGAAAGAATAAGCTAGTATCAAAGGGAAATAGGAATGAGCAAGGAAAATTATTATGTAAGTAAAACACAGAATATGTGATGTTTAAGCATTAAAAACTGGACATGAATATTATCTATACTTCTACATTTTTATCAAAATTCGTTTTTCATTTTAAATGGCCTTCTATCTAAGTAACAATTGCTTTGGCTGAAGCACAAGCTGAAGTGCTAATCCATGCATTTCTGGCCTTTCAAATTTAATTGGGTGACAAATGGTTGCATTATCTAGTTCTAATTGCTTAAAAGGCATGTGATAGATCAGCTGCGCAATCAAAGACATCTTCTTACTCTGACATTGCTTCATTTGGTTCAATCATCACTTTTTCTGAAAGAGAAGGAAAAAAAACCCTCAGTATTTTATCAATAATGATGTCTGTAACATAAATTTATAATTGGCAAATATTTAGGATTTTTTGAAAAACAATATAACAAGGATTTAATTGCTAAGTCACTCAACCATTCCAATATTCTTCTTAATATTTAGGACAAAATAGTGGTCAAACACATTCTTTCTAAGTAATAAATCATTTACCCTTTGGATCAAACACTAGCAATCTGCCTGTCT